TCTTCTTTTAGTTACACAAAGGATGCCTGTGACGCTGGTGTGAATCTATAACCTGTCCCCTCGCTGTGACTCACACGGATCTATCCGTCCCCCCTACCTGTGGGGTGCTCTTTCTCACACACACATGCACACACATGCAGGTATAACACTGTGCATCCCCTCCCTACTGCGCACACCATCCACCCCAAGAACAGCAGCGATATTTACAGCCTTGCCCCCAGGAGGCCAGGTTTCTCGTCACGAAGGCGGCGTTCTCTGAACACACAGAACCGTAGGTGACTTCAACGATCGTGGGCAGGTGGAGGGAGAAAGGACAGCTATTATAGATCCTTACAGGAAGCACTACTCTGGTGTGAAGTCCTCCGTCAATCCTGGAGAAACAATAAGAGAAGCAAGGCCTTTGACGTCATGGTGGTCATAAAAAACGGAGACAAGGCTGGAAATTAACAGGGGGTTCTCAGAGGAGGGCAGAGCATCTTCCTGTTGCTATAAAGTGTCTCAGTCTGTGATGTTCGGTTTGAGGGTAAAATAACAGAAATGTTTAGAGAAAAGGATGAATACAGGGAACTAATAATAGGGCGTTTTCTTCCAGGTCACTGTGTTCTCTCATTACACCAGGACCTGCTCATTTATTCAGCAGCATCAGATGTGACTAAATTTACCTGGTATCTATCCATCTGTCTATTTATCTATCCATCTGTCTATTTATCTATCCATCTGTCTATTCAACATGTTCAACGTCTCCTATATAGCTAGCAGCTGAAAAAAGCTAATTTGCCTATTCATCCAGCTAAATGTCCACTATAGCTGGCAAGCTAATGCTAAAAAAAAAAAAAAAAAAACAGTTTTTCATATCTTTATCCATCCATCACATTAAATATTTCCTATGGCTGGCTAGTTAGCAGCTTAAAAAAACTAGCATTTTTATCAATCTATCATCAACCCACTGAGTTGAATATCTCCTAGTTAGCCAGATAACTAACAGATGAAAAAGCTTGTTTTTCATCCATCCATTCAGGTGAATGTCTTCTACAGCTAGCTAGCTAGCAGCTGAACAGAAACTAGTGTTTTTTGCTATCTATCTATCCATCCTTCCAGCTGAATATCTCCTATAGCCAGCTAGCATCACATAACCCTCGTCTTTTTTGTGTCATTGTCAAAAAAATCTACTAACCATGATGTTTGAGTTGGAATTAAAATGATTTATTCCTCAAATTATTGTATATTTGTAATAGTTACAGCTCCTCCCACATTTGGTGGCAGTCCTGAGACAGATGTGCTCAAGATCCTTAAAGAAAATGTTTTTCACGGAGACTCATCCTGTCCAGAATTATGAAGCATGTCTAATGTCACTGATATAAAAGTCTGCTACTACAGACTAAAATGTGACATGACCGTTCAGATTGCAAACACTTTGAAAACAATTGGATTTGTGTCTGATTTAGTTCCACATATGTAAGTGCCACAAATTAGATTTTCTTGGTGAAAAGATCAGAATTGGGTCATTCAGACTGAAATGGAGGCTGATTGACAGCGCTAAGACCCTCCTCCTCGCTCTGATTGGTTGTTTCTTGTCAGCACTGGGAGAAGGCAGAGGAGTTAGATTATTTATCTTTCTCAAACATAGTGACAGTTTTAACAAGTATCTAAAATACTTTTTATAAAAGTTACATACTGGAACTTTAAGGAAAGAAGGTCAATATTTGCTCCTCTGTGATTTTGAAGAGTGGCTGAGAGAAATGAGCTTGTGTGGCTTATTACAGTTATATATTAAAATAGGATGCGATAGATGAGTAAAAAAGAAAAACTAAACGTTTGTGTCATGACATGGATTTAAGCATGCAATTGTTAAAAACTGCAGTTCAATTTGATATTAAACTTTGACACTAAAAGATCATCTTTTTCAGGGTTTGCCAACTAATATTTACAAGTTTGACAACAAGTGCTCCTTTTGGATCCTGGGAAAACATCTTAAATTTTTTCTTTCCAGAAGAACCCAAACATTCACACAGAGGTGCTGAAACACTTAACAACCTTCACGTTTCACACTGAGGCGCAGAAAGCAACGGCAACAACTTTCAGAAGCAGAGTTTCCTGGAAAACCGCTGGCAGTGCAGCCAAAACTCAGCTGTACGTCAGCGGCCCAGACTAAAATAAAAAACTCATTTAATACCTCCAGATATTGTATTATTATGCAACCGGTTCATTCTACAATAAATGGGAAATATTATAATAAACATTTGTTTTATAGGACCTGCAGAAGTGTGGTCAGGACGAAAGAAGCACTGTTGCTAACTTTACAGGTAAAGTTAGTAACTTTACATATTTAGCGACATTTCAAACTCGCTAGCGACTTTTATTTTTCAAAAAACAAACTAGTGACAAATCACAAATATGCAATTTCATCAATCAACGCTCACCTCAGTCACGCTCGCTATTCTAACTCCTGACTCACCACCAGGCGGTGCTGTGGGTCTGAGTGAGATGGTTTTATATATGATCTTTGCACATAGTTGCACCAAGCTGTATTGTCAGAACCAATAAGAAAATTCAACTGCAGTGACCACCGTTCAAACTAAAGATGGCAGCACTGAGGCGGTTTTGGGCAAAATGATGCAGACCTAAACACACGTACACAAAAAATGTTGTATAAAAATAGAACACTAAATAAAAAATGTTTATTTGGGGTTAGTTAAACTTTAAGTGACTTCTAATCTAGCCAAGTGAAACTGACGACAATTAATGACAAACAGTATCATCATTTCAAAACTGCATTTTTCATTTCCTCAGCTTGTCGTTGATCTGAAACATTTTAAGGTGACAAGAAAAGCAAGAGCAGATAATAAGGCAACATGGACTGTAACTCATCTCAGTTTTTGTGTTTACTTCTCTGTTTTTTCCGATGGAAACCGGATGTTTATCCCGGTTCTATATCACCAGTTCTCAGGCCTGCATTTTTAAAGCAAAGGTTTTGACTCAGCCTGCAGGATTACCTGCTGTTCCTGTGGTAAGTGGAACAAGATGCACAGCCTGCAGATATCAGCTCCCAGATTTCGTCCGGGAGGGAGACACCCTGTCTACTTCAGGACTCGGCTCTGAAGGTTTTCTTTTTGATAAAGCTTACAGTTAAGACTGGAGATCTTGACTCATCCCTTTTGTAGTGCTACTAGGTCCTTAGAGACTTCCCACCATTCACTGAGGACTGAGAAGTTTTATATGTCATGCATTTATGCAACTTATCCTGAAAAAAACAAACAAACAAAAAACAAGTAGATAATAAATAACTGCAGGGTTCCTAAATGTTTCCTACAATAAAATTCAAGCACTTTTCACTGTACTATAAATCACTGTAATATAATATCTGTTATTACTGTTAATAATATTTTTGTAGGAGTATTCTGCATCCTAAACAAGGTAAACTAAAATATAGCTAAATTTTATGTTTTGAAATGTCTCTGTTACAACTTATACACCAGAATGATCCAGGAACAAAACTAATGTAACAAAACAAAATCTCCTAATTTCAGTATCGCTGTTTAAAATGCAAGATGATCATAAAGTCACTGAGCCATTAGACATATATATTGGTAATATATTTCATATATTCATTACACTGAAACAATCCAAGCACATAGTAAGATAAATGACCTCCAGTTAAATATAATTTACAAAGAAAGTCACAAAGAGAAAATCTCTAAAAAATGTTTTCACCAAGTTTTCTGGAATTTAGTGAATCAAAAATAATTTTGGTAATTCAATTCGGATTTAGTCGTGAGGAAAAAAAGGTACTTTTATTATATAATATCTGGTTTGAGCTGTAAATAATTTCCAAATTTTAGCTTGTGATCAAAATTTTGATTGCACTTTATTACACAACTGTACAGTTTCAATTTGAAGCACTTTAAATGATTTTATAAAGAAATTAATCACTTTCCAAACCTTGAAAACATCTCATTGACATTTAAGCATTTTGAAGGATTCCAAGCCAAGAGTGATTCAGTTTTTTTATGTTTCACACTTGAATTTAAACCTAACTTTTGCAATGTTTCACTTATAACATGGGAAAATGTCTTGTGATGCGTGAAATAATCTGCCAATGGAACTAGTATTTTTTCATTGAAAGGAATTATTGACTGAAACAAACTCCTATATATTGCTGAAAAGTAACTTTTAAGTTAGTTTTATTTCAAGTGCACAAAGATATTTGAACTAGAAACTAGATCCAAAACACAGATTTTGTTGTTGCAGTGTGTTATATTAATTGACAATTTAAATTGTCAATAAAACGTGCAACAAATCTTTAACCATGCTCTTCACAGCATGATGTGCATCACCTAGACATCCAAATAAATCTCTTTATCAGTGGATGTTTACATTGTATGAAACCTTTACCTCCATTTTATGCATCACTTTCAAGAAAAAATGCGTCTCATGAAGTGATGTTCCCTTTTTCGAATCGCTTCTGCAGACTGGACAACCAAACTGCGCAGCAACCCGTCGATTCAGATTTGCAGGCGAATATCTCTGCTAAAGCCTGCTGCTAATTTCAATACTTAACTCAGCTGTGATTTATAGACTTGATTCCCCACAGACGCTGCACACAGCCAACCCTAATGAAACACGCTGCTTTAGGTGGGAACCGGAGAGTCCAGAGAGCCGTGCCATGTGGAAAATGAACATATGGATCGCTGCGCTCCCCTCCAACATTCCTGAACAATCTGGACAGGACATTGAGCATTTTATCACCAGCGCTCAGCTGTTAGGCTGCAGAAGCATCCAGCCGCTTGTTTCCAGAGAGATGTGCATTTTATCAGTTCTGGAGAAAAACAGGAAGAGGCTAATTTTACATTTCTACCCTAAATTCATGCTATGTAACGTTACCACAGCCATATTTGGAGGCTTTCTGTTGTTGTGTCCTCACAGTGTGGCATCTGGGTTTGTGCTGTTGAGTTGAAATTCTTGTAGCGGGATCACTTGAGGTTATGTCATCAGTCTGAAACTGCAGCATGCTGCAGGTTTTATTAAAAGTTGTGGAAAGCAGGAATCATGTTGCATTTATTCAGAAATTAAACCAAAATCTGCACATTCTCAACCACATTATTTCCACGAAGCCGCCATCATTTCATCACGTGTCAAACATTCTCAGAAACATAGATCCAGTCTTCATGAGTTGCTGTAAACAGGATGTTGGTGTCCTTCCTGAAACAGAGACAGGCTCGTATAAATGGTGTGTAGACGCTACAGATTATTTAACACAGGGGTGTACAAACCTTTGTCATATGGGACAAAATTGTCAAGTCAGAATTACTTGTATAAAGAAATTATATAACAATCTTTATTTATGTGCTTAACGATAAACTTCTTCACCACTCATTATTTTACATGTAGGACAGTAAATTTCATTTTCTGATTTTTCACCAGTGGTTTCTTCTTTTGTAGAGTTTGCTAAATGTTTGAAGATCAACTAGAAATGATTTGAGTTGGGAACAGAAGGGACTTTTTCCTGCCAATAGATTCTCCCACCTGAGCTGTGGACTTCTGCAGCTCTTCCAGAGTCCTCTTTGCCCTCTTGGCTGCTTCCGATTAATTTTCTTTTTGTTGTCAGTCAGAACTCTGGGAAATGTTCAAAGCTCGACTTTCACCTTGACATTAATCATTTATGTTTCACTTCAGTTTGTTACTACTTCCGTCTACTTGTATGAAGCATTCAGTCGGACTTGCATCCACTCAAAATTGAAAATCCTGAATTCAGAATAAAACCTTCTGAATCCTCTCCACACCTTTGCTTATTAATGTCTTGGAGAAATAAGAAGGGAAAGCAAAACCTGCTGCAGCCGGGCCACAGGTGCTGCAACGTCTCCCTAGGAGGAATGGAGCTCTGAGGGCCGCGCTGGTAGTCTGAGTTATGAGGCATTGCATTTCAGACAGCATTCATCATGCTATCAGTTTGTTCTTACAAGGACTCTGAAAGATGGGCCATGCTGGCCAAGACATCTGCTGCCCTGAGCGGGAGCTGCTTACCTCTTCATCTATTTTCAGACCTTCGAATGCCTCGTCCTGCATGACGCAGACATCAGACGAAATCGTGTTGACGTTTGACTAACAGGTAGCAGTTTCAGTGGTTGGTTGCATGTGCAAAACTCTTTAAATCTCATTGTTGGTAATTATTATTCAAATCACAAGGTGACCAAACCACTATAGGGCTGGTACTAAAAAACTATTGTTTCAGTATTTGATTATTCTGACAACTAATTGATTAATTGGAGAAAGAAAATTGCAACATTCAACATATTTTTAATTTAACTACTGAAGCCTTTTTTATACAGTATTATAAATACAGTAAAAAATTCAAATAAACAAATAATTCAGTTCTTTCAAAATAAGAAAATATTTTTTTTTCCTTTTGCAGTTTTGGGTAAAACAGATTTACAGAGAAAGCGGTATTAATTTTAGGCTCAAATGTATTATATATATATATATATATATATATATATATATATATATATATATATATATATATATATATATATATATATATATATATATCTCTCAAATATA